AAGCGGCCTCCCGCCGTGCATGCAGCCCTCCTGCGCCGCGTGGCTGGTGGCGACCTGCTGGAGTGGCAGTTGTCTGGGGAGGTGTCGTATGGTCGTTTCTTTGCATAAAAGAAGTCGGGTATTATAATTATCGCATGATCGTGGATGGTCGCGTCCCGTCCTGCCACTTCTTGGACAGCGACCTGGTTTCGTTCGCCAGCGTGGCCGAGTTCTCGGCCTTCGAGATCGACGACGCTTCGCCCGCCAAGGTCGGAGCGGCCGACCTCGCCATCAACTATTTCTACAACGTCCAGCTACCCGAGGTCCTGAGAGGCCTCCTCGCCCAAAATGGCCGCACGCCCGCTCCGACCTTCTAGAAGTGACATCAGCCCGGGGCCGAACTGTCAGCCGCAGTCAGCGCGCGCGAACCGATGGGCTGGGCGCTTTCTCTATGGGCCTGCTGGCAAGTCCTGGGGTACCTCTCCAGACGCGCGCCAGACGTCCGATGGGCTGGGCGCTATTTCTATGGGCCTGCCGGCAAGTTCTGGGGTGCTTTTCCAGGCGCGCGCCAGACGTCTCAGGACAAAACTCCTCTGTGTACCACCTGCCTCCGCCCAGCCTGCGCCCTTTCGCCCGCGCCGTGCATGTCGGCGATTTCTTCGCCCATCCTGTCGAGGCGGGTTCTAGGGCCGCGGTGCTGTGAGAAGCCTTTTCGGCCGGGGATGCTACGGCGGGGGTCGACGCTCGGACTGCTTGGAAGGTCAGACTGGCCATCGCGCATGTCTTGCGTCAGGGGTGCGTTCTCAGGGGCGCCCTGGGAATCGCCGGGTCACGCTGAGCCGCGCGCGCGTTCGTGCGCCGGGAGCTGCTTGCCCGCATTCTCCGCATTTTTTTGTTGCAGCTGACTCGGGACCTCGTCGCCGCCGTCCCTGGCTTCGTTTTCGCCGCGAGTTTCGATGGGCCTCTGGGCTCTTCTTCTCGTCGTCCCGTGATCCTGGGGCGGAGTGGCCCCGAGGGCGCGCTCGCTGTCGACGCTTCGTCCCGGGCGGCTGCGCTGCGCAGCGGCGGGCCCCCGGGTCTGAGGCCCGAAGGCTGAGGCAGTTCAACGAGGGGCGGCGCGTCGCCCGACCGGGGGAGGAAGGGCGCCGACCACGAGATCACGCGTTGTCTCTTTCAAGTCCAGCGGGATCGCTGCCCGCATTTCTGCCCCCCCTGCGCCTCGCGGCCCCGGAGGGCCGAGCCTCGCGGAGAGACCTGAGGGGGTCGCCCCTTGGCGTCGCGCGGGCGTCTGGGGCGGGGGCGGGCGCCGCGCGCTGGTCAGTCGTTGGGCCCGGTCAGAAAGTCGAGTCATCCCAGAGGGCCGCGCCATGGTTTTGGTCCGATCCCACAAGACCCGCTCCCTCGCCAGCCTCGCTGAGGAAGCGATTTGGGAGATGCGATGGCTCGCATCTGTGCCCTCGCAAAACGCCGCTCCTCTCTAGGGTGGCGCGCATTCGTCGGGGCGCCTCGGTTCTCGACCTAGCTGCTGGCACGGCGGGCCGTGGGGGGTGGACCCCGCCGGAACGCACTCCCGCAGACCGCGGCTCGTGGCCTCGGCGCGGGGATTGGGCCAGTCCGTCGACTCGGCTTCACGAGCCCACCCCAAGCCGGCGCGCTTGCGTCTCCCTCGCCATGCTCCGCTGGGAAGGGGCAGCCACGGGCCGTGGGATTGGCGCGCGTGGGCGTGCGCCTCGCAGCCAGGCCTCTCCGGGGGCGGCCCCTCTGATGGAGGGGCCTCGCGGCGCCCGCAGGCCCAATCGCCCGCGACGCGGGCCAGGGAGTGCCTGGCTGCCAGCCGGGCGCAGCCGCTCCGCCAGATCGCCGCGCCCGACCTGCAGGCGGACCGAGCAGCTCGGCAGCGGCGGGGCTGCGGGTCGGCCGCGGCGGCTCGCGGGCTCGGCCCGTCGGCCCCCGGGCGCTGGACGGTCGGCGCCCCGCAGCAGGCCCGCTGCATGCAGATCGCCCGGGCGTTGTACATGGGGGTCCAGCTGAGCTATCTGACCCTCCAGGCGGTCTGGGTGATGGCGCCCCTGTTCATCAACGAGCGGTGTCTCGAGGGCGCGCGCCCCGATCGCGCTCCGCGCTCGGCCGTCCGTGGCGCTGTGCCTCCGGGAAAAAGGCGAGTCCGTCCACGACTGGCGAGTTCGGCGAGTCGCTTCGCTACGACAGCCCCATGTTCGGGCGGGCGCTGCTGCGGCTCGGGCTGCCCGACGGAGTGCTCGGCCCCTCAGAGACGGGCCAACCTCGGCTCTGGGGGGGGGCGGCCGTGCGCTGGCCAGCTGCGCCCGCTCCCTCGCCGACGTCGAGAAGCGGGGCCGGTGGGTCGCAGACAGCAGCTTTCGACGTCTGGGAGAAAGCGGCCGGCTCCGCATTCGGAGGTTGATAGAGCCACCTTGACACGTCGATTGGCGAATTGGCCGTTCTCGGTTCGCGAGAGGGCGTCGCGGCAGTCACTTTTGCGTGTCCAGCTCCGTCGGTTTCGGTCTTTGGCCGTTTATTTACACCAAACGGAGGCTTACAGTCAACCCGCATGGTAAAGATAGGCAACCATCCCAAGGGTACCCTTGCATCCTTGCCTCCTCGGTCCATCCTTCGCCAGATTCCTTGGCCGCGCCCCGCTCGAAAAACTTCGAAGTGGGCGTCCAAGGCCTTTGCATCCTTATCGCGCATCCTATACTATACTGGTTGATTGTACTAAAGGGAGGTCTGTCCACCGCCGACGTATGCCCAGCGTCAGGACGCTTCGGGCGAGGCTCAGCCCGCGGGCCGCGTCACGGCCCGCGACAACGGCCCATTGGCCTCGACGGCGTTGTGCGATCATCTGGAGGGAAAAACAAACACAGACACCATTAATCGCCGATTCCCCTGAAAATATGGGAAAATATGGGAAGTGGGGAGCTGTGCGCTCGGGCCAGCAGCTTGCCATCGAGTTCTTCGGTGTGTATCGGGCAGCCTCGCAGAAGGCTTGCGCCGCTCAGCTGTTCCGGGGAAGATGCCGATCGTCGAGGTTGATGTGCGCAACGATTCCCATCGTGATTTTCTGTATGAGGCCCTGGTCCGGAGGATGGTGATCGTTTTTGTGATTCATTTTTTTGCCGATCGGCGTGGGCCCCCAAAGCCCCCCCTCCCCCCATGGAGTAGATCTTGGTTGTTTTTTGGCGCCTGTTTCGAGCGGCTGGGGTCCTCCCCCAGGGGCAGCACTCCTGCAAACAGTCGCACCAAGCAGAGGTCTGGAGCCAGACCCCCCTTCCTGCCAACTCCCTTTCCGCCCAATGTCAAAACACCGAATTAAACAAACTCTCACATGCGTGGGTTGACCCGTGCAGGTGTCACTGCTGCTGTCTGGATTGCCCCTCCGTGCTCTTCCTTCTCTCGCTTTGCGCTGCCTCTTCCCGCCTGTCCGTTCCCGTGAGTCTTTCCTTGGGCATCCAGCTTGTCTCCCTCGGATCAGTGCTTTGTCAATGCAGCTAGTCAGTTCTGCAAGATTGCGCCCATTTTGCTCGACCCATGTCAAATTTACATAGTGCCCATTTGTGGTTGAGAACCGGCGCGAGCCTTCTGTTGGAGGTGCCCTCTCTCGCTCGCTTGGCCAGAGCTCCAAGAGTATGGCAGTGCATCGCCGATATGCCTGCGAGTTTTTTTTGCGCAGGCATGCTTCTTGGAGAAATTCTGGGAATGATCCGTGCGGTATCAAGTGTAGCAAGTTGGCCGAACCCTACCCGAAGCGCATTTGCACTGCCTTTGTGTCTTGCTTCGCTGCGGCACTCTTGGGCCCTTGTGCCAAGAAGTTGTGCTGTTGTGCAGATGGCCCGCGGCCAGGTGATGCTTCGGAGCTGTTTCGGAGTAGCCTTCTCGTGCGTTCGAGTGTGTCCAGGTTTTTGCCCTCGCTCAAGCGTCGGTCGTCTTTCTGGAGGGCCTCGGCTGCTGGGCTTGCTTGTCCACGCGATTGGCGTCTTAGCCAACGTGCGGTCTCGAGGAGAAGGTTCACCAAGCATGCTCTGTAAGGTGTTCGCGCTCTTTGCTCGGATCGGACGTGCGCATCCATGCGGGGCGCATTGTACCGCCACCCCTTGGAACAGTGACCGTGGACGACGCGAGGGGGCCGCGCCCTGGGCCTTCCACTGTCGATTGACCCTCGAGCGTGACCGACCCCAAGATGACTCCGAGTCGGACCCGTGTGCCGGACGACGGAACGGCACCGCAGGGCGTTGAGCATTGCAGCGGAAAGTTCTGTTTACAATCGTGCGCGCCCTTAGGGAAGCTGACTAGTCCGAACGAGGCCAGAAGATGCTGCTCGAGGAAGTCCCAAACGAAACCGCCACTCCCAGGCGGCATGAGCATCGATCTGATTTTTTTGTGCCGAGGAATCCCCCCAGACGAACCTGCCAGTTTCAGACGGAAGGCGATCTGGAAATGTTCTGAGGAAGTCTCATGCGGAGTGCCATTTTCAGGCGCTGGCCCCATCATGTTGAAAAGGCGTGAGACATTCATCTGCAAGTCCCAGATCCGTATGACATCCAACATTGTCCCTGGGTCCCCCGGCCTAACGGGTGGCCAGCAGCCGCGTCTCCATCGGCCCTCGCCGTCTCCACTTTTTCATCCAGTGGGTGGTAGTCTGTTTTTTTCCGCTCCAAGCCCAGAGATCCTGTCTCGTGTTTTTGTTTTCATAAACGGGCCCCCCAGAAGTCTCGACCCACTCCCCAGGACCGGTTTTTGCATCCGGAGTCGTTTCTTGCCCCTCGACGCCGACAAAGACGAAACACCTACGTCTTGATTTTTGCCCATGCGCTGGACCCTGAGTTCCGACGTCGCGCCAAACATTGCAACATCGTGAAAATCCGCGCCTGGAGCCCGGGAGCCTATCTTTCTGCGCCATTTTCCGAGCCGGATCGATCTGTGAGGGTCCAGGGACCCGGAACAAACGGCGAAGACGCCCGGCTCGACAAAGTGGAGTCGCCAGGATCTCGGGGGGCCCCTGGGAGGCACGACCAGCAGAAGTCCGCGAGCATCGACGGGATCGAGCTCGCCGTCGCGGAGAGCATGCACGGCTCCGCGCGCCGAGCCGCCTGCCGCCTCCGCGAGCGCGCGGGCGCCGCCTCCGCGGGCGCGCGGGGCGCGCTGCCGGCCGCGCCGGCCGGGGCGGCGCTCGGGTCAGCTTTGGACGCCCGAAATGGGTACGGAAAGAATGGGTACGATGCCCAACAGCAGTTCCTGTTCATTTTGAACAGGACTCGCTGTCCGCGCCGCCGCGGCCTGTGTTCATTTGAGACAGAAGGCCGCCTGCCCAACAGCGGCCGCTGTTGGTTCGGGACAACATTTGTTTGTTGGGCATGTTGCCCATTCTTTCGGTATCCATTTCGGGTGTCCAAATCAGCAGTGGCGAAGAAGCGTCCTGGCGTGCCCATAGGGCCTACCAGAGAATGTTCTGAGCGGCCCGCTCCGTATTCGGAGGTCTCTATAGAGCTCCCGCCCTGACACGTCGATTGGCGAGTTGGCCGTTTTTTTTGTTTGGTTCGCGAGAGGGCGTCGCGGCAGTCACTTTTGCGTGTCCGGGTCCGTCGGTTTCGGCCCTTGGCCGTTTTCACTGAACGGAGGCTTACTAAAGGGAGGTTTGCTCACCGCCGGCTTACACTCAAGCCGTGGCCTACCAAATCACGTTCTAAGAACCTTTTGAGTGTCCCACGAAATGCTCTTAGAACACTTCTTATTTTGCTTCAACACATCGGGTTTATGTTCTAAGCTCAATGTTTTTGTTGTTCTAAGAACGTTTTTGGGTTCTAAGAGCATCTCGTGGTAGGACTATAGGCATGGTCGGTCCCTGCTCAATCGGGAGCCTCGAGACGGGGGTCAATGCAAACTGGAGTCAGCCAGAGCGCCCGATCTTGCAGGGTCCTGCAGGCCCAGAGATCCAGCGCACTGAAAAACTCGAGACGGAGGTTTCTCGCAGTTTTCGGCCTCTGCAAGGGCCCTCGCCGGGCCCCGGGACCGTCAAAAAGGGACTCAGGATGAAAACCGGTCCTGGGGAATGGGTCGAGATTTCCCGCATTGCGAAATTCACGACATCGGATCTCTGCGGGGTCGCATTGACCCGAGCTTGGGTGCAGGATCCAGCAGGATCTTGCAGGATCCTTCGCGTTGACCGGGGCTTGGGTGCAGGATCTTGCAGGAACCTGCAGGGCCTGACTGACCCGGGTCTGGATTGACCCGGGCCAGAAGATCCCCGAGGCGCTGGCGCCGGAGCGCTCGGCCGGTGGGCGCGCCGGCGCGATCGAGGAGGCCCGGCCGCACGCCGCGTGGAATGTCAGGGGCGGCCTAACCGACCCCTAGCCAACCATCCCCTTCCGTGACGTCCCCCTCGCCTCGCCCCAAGACGTATGCATGCGGCCGGAGGGAAGCTTAAAAGGCGAGGATGACGCCACGGAAGGGGATGGTTTGCTAGGGGTCGGTTCGGCCGCGCGCGAGAATGGAGCAGAGGCCCCAGATAGCCAATGCGTATTGAAGAAGCAAGGCGGAGGTTATTCGTCTCTTTCGGCCTCGAGGGGCCCTCGCCGCGCCCATTGGACCGTGAAGAAACGACTCGGGATGCAAAACCGGTCCTAGGAGGAGGAGGAGGAGGAGGAGGAGGAGGAGGAGGAGGAGGAGGAGGAGGAGGAGGATGGGGAATAGGTCGAGAGTTCCGGGGACCCCATATATGGAAGAAATCACGACGTCGGGTTTTTGGGGGAGCAGAGACTCTGAGATCTTGGCGATGCATGTTGTCACAGAGTCGCAGAGGGCGGCGTCGCTCAAGCTTCGGGCCCCGGGGCCCGCACAGATGGATCCGGCTCGAAAAGCAAATACGCAGAAAGATGGGGTCTGGGGTCGGAGCCCAATGATGTCACCAGCACAAGCACGTCGCCCCGCACCTCCGAGGACAGCGCTCCCGCGCTCCGGCATCCCGCTTTTGCGGCCAGTGCGGCGCCAGCCATGTACAGCAGGTGAGCGCGAGTGCGCGCGCCGTGTGTGCGCCGGGCCATGCCTGATGACCTCTCTCTCACCCTTGCTCTCTGCACGCCGCTTGACGACGCAACCGCGCCGGCTATTGGAAAGCTTCCCCTCCATACCGCGCCTGGGTCCCATTGCCGAGGCTGATCCATGCTAGTTACATGCTCCCCTCTTCGCTGTGGCTTCGCGTTTTTCTCCCTCGGCGAGTCTGTCTTGATGTCTTCGCTCCCTCCGCTTGCGCCATCTTGTTGCACGTGGGGCCCCGATGGAGCCCCCTGACACTTTCGCCTTTGAGTGTTATATCGTGCAGCCAGCAGGTCGCTACCTTGTATGCCGCCGATGTGCAGCGCGCGGTCAAATCGAGGCCCTGTACTGGCGCAAGTTGCTGGCTCCTTGTGAACAGTGAAGGCGCTGCATCCTCGAGCCAGGCTCGACACGGACGAGATCCTCGCGGGACGCGAGCCGTGCCCACCGCCTCGGATAGGGTAGTTCGCACCCGTGTGCACTTTCTTGGGGGGCGAGCGCACGCCTCTCCTGTGCTGGGCCCCCGAGGCATGGCCTCCTCTGTCCCAGCGGCTAGTGTCCGTCCCGTCGGATGCTAGACTACTGCTAGGCCTTGATTGTCCCTTGTCCATTGATGTGTTGTTGACCGCTCCCAGAGCGACCCGGCCAGCTCGAGGGGAAGCGGCAAGCGAAAGCCGCCTGGGGGTTCCGCCAGGGGCTCGGATCCTCGCCCCTTCTTCCCACCCTTGGCCACTTTCGCTGGCCGCGCCCCGCTCGAAAAGTGTCGCCATGGCCTTCCACGGCGCTCTGCATCTTCATCGCGCATTATCATTATCATCATTATTATTATTAATATCATTATTATTATTCTTCTTCTTCTTCTTATTATTATTGTTAGTATTATTATTTAATCGTTTCGCTCACTCCGCCGGCCCGTCTTGTGCCATCGCAGGCGTTTGCCTACGCTTTCGTGGTCTCTTGGGCCTCTCGGGGGCCGTGTGTGGGCCTCTTGGAGCCTCTTTTGGGGCCTCTTTGGGGCCTCTTTGGGGCCTCCAGGGGGCTGGCGAATCATATGCGTTGACTGTACAGGTTGCGCGACGCGCATCGGGGCAGCTAAGTGCTTATTCCGAGTTTCTTAATAAGCGTCGGGGGGGCGTCACCCCCGCCGACAGATCCACATCGACCCCCGTCGCGGGCAGCCACCGCGCGCCGAAGGCGCTCCGACCCCCGTCGCGGCGCGCCGACGAGGCGAGGTTGACCCTCGTCGGGGGGTACCCCCCCACGAGGCGAGGCCTATAAAGAAACCAAGAGTCAAGCAGTAGCGAAGCGTCCTGGCTCGCCTATAGGCCTACCCAAGAATGTTATAAGAGTTTGGTTTGGTTTCCACGACATGTTCTCAGAACATTTCTGGCTGGGACCGTCTTGATTTCACACATCGGGTTTGTGATCTGAGAACGTTGTCTCTCCTCTTCGAACATTTTTGAGTGCTGAGAACATCTCATGGCAGACGAGGAGGAGGAGGAGGAGGAGGAGGAGGAGGGCCACCCTGCCGTGCCGCCGCAAGGCGTGCGCCGAGCTGCTGCAGCTCGCCCTGCGGCTGTCCTCGGCGGCCGGGCGCGCGGCGCACGCCCTGGGCCCCGCCGACGAAGCGCCCGCGGAGCCGCCGCCCGCGGCGCCCGCCGCGGCGAGCGCGCCAGCCGCGGCACAGACCGACGAGCCGCCAGAGGACGACTCTATCAAGCAGTGGCGAGGTGTCCTTGCTGGCCTATTGTCGCCGAGCGCGTGCCACTACTCGTAGAGTGCCTGCTCGCAAGCGTCAGAAAGCCATGCGCCTGCCTTCGTGTAATCTATCGTGAATCCTCTGTGGCGGATCCTGGCCTCTTGCGAGTAGCTGCTTTGCGAGTAGTGGCACGCGCTTGTCTATTACAGGCCCACCGAAGAATGTTATGAGAGCCTTTTGTTGTCTGCAATACGAGTCCTTAGAGCATTTCTGGGTGATGCTGTCTTGCTTTAACGCATGGGGCTTATGTTCTAAGAACATTGTTTGTGGTATTAGAACACTTTTAGGTTCTAGGAACATTTCGAGGTAGGACTGTAGGACTGCCAGGACGGTCGGCCCCTGCTCAACTATAGGCCCAGACCCCCGCGAGTCATTCGGGGGTGGACAGAACCCCCACCCTGACACGTCGACTCGTGAACTGTCCGTTCTCGCTTCTCGAGAGGGCGCCGCGGCCGTCCTTTTCCAGGCTCGCGCCCGCCAGGTTTGGACCCGAGGTCATTTTCGCTAAACTAGTTTTTCTAAAGGGGGTTCTGTCCATCCCCGAGCCATGACAAAATTCACGACGTGAGGTGTTTCGCCATTTTCGGCCTCGCGGGGCCCTTATAACGGGCCGCTGTGCCGTCAAAAGTGTAATTTCAGGATGAAGGAGCGGTCCTGGGGAGTGGTCGAGACCCCTGGGGGTCGACGTCATGAGTAAGTCATGACGTAGGGGGTCTGGGGGGAAAGGTCAGGAGCGAAGGAAGGATGCACACGCACAGGAACCTATGCTGGTTTCGAAAGTGCGCCTTGCGCGAGCGTGCGTATATCACGATGCTCGTCTCGCGGACTGGGGGGCAGCAACCCTGTGCGTGATCGGGCGCGCACGGCCCCTGTGGGCTCCCCAGAGAGACTCGGCCAGGCGAAACTCGGTCAGGCTGAACTCGGCCTAGGCCGAACTCAGGTTGGCGGAGGCCAGCCTGGCCGAGGTCACCCGGCCGAGTTCGACCTGGCCGAGTACACCCGAGCGGGCTCAGCCTGGCCGAGGCCTCCCTGGGCCGAGCTCTGATATCTGCCCCGGAGGACGAGGCGGACGAGGGGCCCGATCCTCGGAGGGGGTGTCGGTCAAGACAGCGGCGGCCTCCCTTGAGATCCTGGCGTTGGAATTTTCTCACGGCGGGCGATTTCGCCTGGCCAGTTCCAGGCCCCAGGGCCATCGCAGATCGATCTTGCTCGAAAAATGGCGCAGCAATTTAGGGTCTAGGGTCGACTAGACGTGAGAGTGACCTGTCGCCGGAGTGACCTTTGGTGCGGGCACAGGTGGGTCCCGAGATGGCTGAAGGCGAAGCGAAAGCAGCGGCTTGCGCGCCCAGATTTGGCCACCCCGCGTCCCCCGTTAAGCCGGGCACCAGAGGTCACTCTTGCTTAGGGTCACTCTTGCGTGTAGCCGATGGGGCTCCCGGCGTGATTCCTCTCGATGCTGCCGCACTCTTCTGGCATACAGACAAAATGAATCGTCGACTCCCAGGAAGATATGGGAAGTGGGGGGGAAGACAAAAACCCAGAAAATATGGGAAACCATGGGGAATCTGGTTATTTGTGCTTATTTGTTTGTGTGTCTCAGGGCCCAGGGCCCCTTCAGAATCTCATGGCTTCCTGGGCGCTCCTCGTCCTCGCTGGGCCTCCCGGGTGCTTCTCGTCGCCATAGGGCCCGCCTCGACGGAGGAGGCGGGTCAGGACGGACCCCCCGTGGCCAGTAGTTTAGGCCGCCGTTATTCGGGGGCTGCCGCAAAGGTGCCCCCCCTGGCCTGAGGTGCCCCCAGCTCTTCGCTCCACTGTGGCGCCCCCATGGGGGGCCCTCCCCAGAGCTCCAGCGCATCGAAAAAATCCAGACGGAGGTTTTTCGTATGTTTCGGCCTCGAGGGGCCCTCGCCGGGGCCCGGGACCGTCAAAAAACGGCTCAGGATGAAAAACCGGTCCCCGCATTGAAAAAGTCACGGCATCGGATTTGGGGGCCTCCCTGGAAGCCCCGGGGGCGCCCTGGGCCATGGGGCGCTCCTGGCAGCACCCGACCGCTGTCTCAGCTGGCCCCCCTCCGAGAGCCGCCGCAGAGCTCGGCGCCAGAGGCCGACCCGCTGTCCTGGCTGGCCGGCGGCGTGGTGCGCGTGTGCGTGCGGGCCCTGCGCGGCCTGGAGGCCCTGGACGGCCCACCCGCGGGCGGGCTGCTGGACCCGCGCGTGGCCGTGCGGCTGGGCGGGGAAGAGCGCATCACGCCGCCGGTGTGCTACAGCGCGGACCCCACGTGGTCCAGCGGCAACGCCTTCTCCTTCCATGTCGGCGGGGCCAGGCCCGCCTCCCAGCTGGAGCTGGAGGTGCTGAACACCCAGCCGGGCGCAGAGGTGCTCGTGGGCACCGCCGGCCTGGACCTCGCCGCGGTGCCGCGGGGCCAGTGGAGCACCTGCTGGAGGCCCCTCGGCCCGTGCCGCGGGGAGCTCCTCCTCTCTGTCTGCCTCGAGGCCGCCCTCGGCGCCGCGGCGGGGCCTGCGCCTGCGCCAGCTGCACCGGCGCAGGCCTTTACCAGCACCAGCGCCTCGAGCTCCTGCCCTCCGCCTGGCCCTTGTGCCGGCTGGGCCGCCGCCGCCGCCCCTGCGGCGCGCGCCCTGGGCGAGAGGCCTCGCCACAGAAACGCATACACATAGGCGCCCCCGATCGGAGGGCTCCCGAGCCCCCCCAGGGGAGGTGGCGGTGTGCAGGTCACCGCCGAGGAGCGCCAGCGACCTTGCACATCGCCACCCTCTCCCGGAAGGCGCAGGGGACATTCGTCGGCGGGCCTCTGTGAGTAAACGTCCGTGGCGCCGAGGCGGTCCCAGCCGGTGCAGGGCCGCGGCGGCGGCCTCGCGGCGCGCCGCGGCCGCGGCCTCGGCGCCGACGGCGCGGCGCGGGGCCCTGGCCCCGCGCGCGGCGCCGGCGGCGAGCTGCGGGCAGCCACGAGCTGCGCGGGCTGGGCGGCGGCGCCGCCGCCGTCGGAGGGCGGCGAGCCCGGGGACCGCGGGCTCGAGGGCGATGGGCTCGAGCGGGCGCTGCCGCCGTTGGACTGCGAAGAGCCCTGCAGCGGCGAGCGCGGCGGCGACGCTGCCTGGCGTGCCGCTGGCGCGCGGCGGGCTGGCGCTGGGGGCCCCAAAGCGGGAGGGTGGCCCCTGTCGGCCAGCGGTGGGCTCCCGGCCATCCGTGGAGGGAGCACCGGCTCGTCGGCCGCATCGCCGCTGGACCGACTCGGCTCCAGCTGCGGCCAGCTGTCGCCGCCTCGTGCTGATCTGGCCGCCTGGCAGGCGTCCGCGCCTGATGCGATAGAGTGCTCAGAGCTGATGGTCGAAGCCGCTCTCCTAGCCCTGGAGAGTGCTGGTCCTCTGAGACTGCCCGACGCGCAGTACTTCCCTGAGGAAATCGCCGCAGTCGGGCCACGGCCTTCAGGCGAGCTGGCCGCTTTTGTGGGGGCCGCGCCAACCGACGAGCTGCTAAGGAAGAAGAACAAGGAGATCGCAGAGCTCGACTGGATCCAGAAACAGCTCGAGGAGCTTGAGAAGATGGAGGCGGGAGGAAACGAGGGCATGGATGTCGACGGCATGGAGGGCGAGTTCTCCGAGGAGGATTCGGACCACGCCGACCACTTGCATGCAGCCCCCAACTCTGCCGCAGCCATGCCAGCGCCCGCCGTCCTGACGGGGGCGGCAGGGCCCGCCTTGCGCGCCACCTCTGCTGGGTGGCAGCAGGCAGCGGCCCACATCAGCGAGGCGGCCACGGAGGCTCTGCTGCAGGCTCGGGTCGTGAGCGGATTGTCCGTTCGCGCGCTGGAGGAGGGCGCCGTGGAGCCGCTGCACGCCGCCACCGAGGACGTTTCCACCACGAGCAGCTTGCTGAGGTTCCCGGGCGTGGTTTCGGGCACGGCCGCCTCCCAGTCGCCCGTGGCATCGGCGCTCTTCAGCGACTCGGCCGCTGTCACGCGGGAGCAAGAGCACGCCGCAGCGGAGCCGCCACAGAGGGAAGGGCTGGTTGACCTGGCTGCGCCGGCGAGAGCGGCGGCGGTGATCTCGCAGGCAGCCGCGGAGACCGAAGCGCAGAGCGGAGACGCCCAGTGCCCTCCCGTCGCGGACGAGGACGAGGCGATGACATCGGTGGGCCCAGGCGCCGCGTCGCCGGTGATGGCGCCGCTGGCCGCGGCGGCCAACTGGGAACACGCCACGCCGCCCCTGGAGCCAGCTGCGGGCCATGCCGCGGCGGCCCTTCGGGACGCCGCGGGCCCCGCAGCGGCGGGGACGGACGAGGAGGCCGCGCTCGCGGAGGCCCCAGCCGAGGCAGACGGCGTCGGCGGCGCGCCTCCGCCGCCCACGGCGCCGAGGCCCGTGGGCGACGCTGCGGGCGCCGTCGGCGAAGCTGCGGAGGCGCTGCGGAGGGCCGCGGAGCTCAACCGTGCCTCGCTGCTCGCCCTCCGCGGGGCGGCCGCGGCAGTCTCGCCGCAGGCGGGCGCCCTCCGCGGGGCGGCCGCGGCGGCGGCGCCCCGCGCGGCGGGCCGGTGGCGGCCGCGGCGGGCGGGCCGCGGCGAGGCGGCCGAGGAGCGCGGCGCCGCGGCGGCCGGTGGCGGCGCGGCCGCGGGCGCTGCGGCGTTGCCGGCCCCGCGCGGAGACGCGGCCGTGCCGGGGCCGGGCGCCGGGGCGCTGCCACGCTTCGACAGCGCTTCGTCTGCGCCTCGACCGCCCTTCGACTACGCCGGGACCGCGCCTCGACCACCCCTCGACCACCTCTCGACGACCACCCTCTCGACCACTCCTCGACCACCCCTGGCGGCCGCCGCGAACGCGGAGGCCGCCGAGGCGGCGGCGGGCAGCGCTGCGCCCAGCGGCGCCAGCGGCTGCGGCGACGGCAGCTTCGAGGAGCACCTCGGCGGGTCTGGTGGGCGCGGCCCCAGGCGCGCCGAGTTGTTGGTGGCCGCCGTGCCCGGGCCCGCGGCGGGGGCGCCAGCGCTGCGGGAGCGGCGGGGCGAGTCGGCGGCACCCTCGGCCGCGCGCTCGTCCTCGCGGTCGTCCTTCTCCCCCTCCTCCTGCTCTTCTCCTCTCGGAGGAGGAGGAGACAGAGCGGCACGGGGGTGCACTCTTGGAGGCCCCCGCCGAGTTCTTGGGTCGGCGCGGGGGCCCCCTCTGGCGGCGCCCCGGGCGCCGCCTCTGGCGCGCTCCGCGCTCCTGGCAGGGAGCCCAAGACATCCGCGCGGGCCTCCGGAAGTGTGAGTTTGCTTGTGCCTTCTCTTCTCGGCGGCGCGCGGACCCAGACATCCAGCATCTGCCGCAGAAGCACGGGGGGGTCTCGTCGTTTCTGGCCCCTGGGGGCCCTCGACGGGCCACGCCGGGGGGTGAAACGTGGGCCCCAGGGGAAGGGCCAGAGCTTCCAGGCACCTCGCCTTGAAAGGGTCAAGACGCCAGATGTCCAGGGATAAGGGGTGGCGTGAGGGGGGGAGCCTTCTGAGAAGGAGGAGGAGGAGGAGGAGGAGGCGGAGGCGGAGGCGGAGGAGGAAGAAGAGGAGGAGGAGGAGGGTTTCCAATAATCAACCCGTCTACTTAGAAGGCCAACCCCTCGCCCCGACCCCCGTGTTCGTGGCGCCAACCTCCCCCAGCAGGAGTTGTGCCGTCCCGCCCGCGGCCGACCCCCATCATCCTGAGCTAATGCCGCGCTGGAGGGAG